CCCACCTTGGGACAATGGGTGCTCCAGGTGAGATGGAAACTTTTCTACACAGTATTCAGCGCCAGCTTCTAATATATGGCCCAAATACCTGACCTGCTTCTTTGTTTTCACACAGCTGGAGTGCAGGATGTGGGGGACTGCCCAAAGTGGGCAAATCAGAGACAGAAAAGAGCAAAAGTAATAGCTTACCAGCTGGCAAAGCCAACCTCTGCCAGGCGGGGAGATGGTCACCAGCAGAGACTGGCAGGATTATCAGGCTGTCTCTTCCCAGACAGCTTACTTGCTCTGGGTCAAGGTGTGGCTCCTCCCTTCTCCCTGGCAGAACCCTGCAACTCAATGGTCACGCTTGGGCTCATTACAAAGTCTACACATGAGCCCCACACATAGATATCTTTAAAATCTAAAACCTTTCTTCAAAAGAGATAAATGACCTCAAAGTTGTCCTCTCTTCACGATGTCCAGTTACTAATAAAATGACATTCTCAAAGAAGGGTCTTGGGGCTGCAAGTCCTGCTAGCTCCGTGTTTATAAGCATCATCTAATTTAATCAATCAGTGGCTGAGTTTATAGCATTCTTCCTCAGAACCTCATGATGTAAAAACATTCCCACATCCATTATCTCATTTCTTTTCAGAGGAATCCTGGAAGGAAGGGTAGGAAATATCATTTCCATTTTACAGAGCTGGAAACTGAGGCACATTGCACTTTGTCTGGTTTGTTGAACTAGACAGTGGCTTCCTTAGAAAGCACAGAGGAATCTACCTGAGGGCAGTGAATATGAGAGTTGTGGTTGAGAATGTGTACCTGGAAGAAAGGATCTTGAAGGTTTTAAGGTAAGGATAAAGGTGATGAACTGCAGGATTGGGAAGGCACACTACATGTCACAATATTGCCAGTGGGGACAGTCCCATGTGACAGCTTCATCCTCCAGCTCTCTATCCTTCCCATTTGTCAAAGCCAGCCTAAATCCACAGATCTAGAAAGCCTGCTTTGATTATCCAGCATGGAAAAAACAAAGTACCTCTTAAGGTTTTCATGGGCAATAACTCATTACAATATCATAAGTTTTATCTCTGTGTGTGTGTGTGTGTGTGTGTGTGTGTACATTCCTGCATGTATATGCAGAGACTAGAGAAAGACAGCAGTGTCTTCCTCTGCCACTCTCCACCTTATACCCTTGAGACAGAGTCTCTCACTAAACTTCAAGATTGCCACCTTGGGTAGGCTGGGGGCCAGTGAGCTCCTTGGACCTTCCTGTCTTCATTTCCCAATGCTAGGGTTTTGGGCTCAAAGTGGGCCCAAGTGACCATGCCCAGGTTTTGTTTTGCTTTGTTTTGTTTTTAATAGGTGCTGGGGATTTGAAATCAGGTCCTTGTGCTTGTGCAAGTACTCTTACCTACTGAGTCATCTCCTTTGCCCCATGTAGAGTTTTAAATTTTAAATTGTTTTTTTTTTTAAATTTCATACATGAGTACTGTATTTAAACAATTTCCACCCCTCTCTCTTCCCCATCTTCCTCCATCTTTCCCCCACTCCCTTTCAATTTCATGTTTTCTTAAACACACACACACACACACACACACACACACACACACACATACACACACACAGCCTACTAAGTCCATTTAGTGGTGCTAGTATGTACATGTGTTTAGGGGTGATCATTTAGGATTGGATAACCTATCAGGGAAAATTGATTCTCCCTCTTTCAGGTACCATTGATTGCCTGTAGCTCTTCATCTACAGGTGGGACCTGGTGAAATTTCCCCATTCACACTGGCACATCAACCGGTGTTGTCATTATGCAGGTCTTGTTTATAAAGCCTACAGAGCACAGCAGTGACTAGCTCAGCAAGATAGGGATTAGGGAATGCTGCAATGGTGGCACTTTTACCTTGAGGAAAACCATCAACTGTCTACTTAGACTTAAGGCCTGCTTGATAGGAGGTAATTTGTGCCTGATACTGTAAACTTAGCCAAATATCTCTGACTGGAGAGGTCATAACCCTATAGAAGAACCCATTATTACTATTTTCCTAAACTTATTTTCCTTATACCCACTGATAAGTGTAGCTCTCACCCCTCATCAAAGAAGCTTCTTTTTGCAACATGTGGAGATGATTACAGAGATCTACAACTGAGAGACTAGAGAGAGATACAGAAAATAAGTGACCATGGGGAGACCAACCCCAATTGATACATCTAAAATGGAACCACTATATCTAAGATTCAGGGAACATCACAGAAGCTGGGGTGAAAAGACTGTAAG